TTGCCAGACTATTGTGTAAGTAAGTGTATTTGAATTTTTTATCAACCAAGATATAAATTATGTAATTGCTTTTTCAAAACATTCGGATGCCATCGTCGAACATGGGGGTTAAAATCAAACGGAAATTCTTTAAATACGAGCCGCAGGCTATATTAACGGTTAAAAATCGAACGAGCATCACAGACGTGGAATTTTAGATAAGTACCGATTTAGTGGTTTCCTGTTGCATTACAGGAATCAGTCAATTGAGATCACATATTGTAATTGCAATTGACTGTGGAATTCTCATCGGGTGTATTTAAAGGCAAAGGTCCAAACACAACAAGATCCATTTGGTTAAGAATTGAAAAGCCTTTTCCACGATGACTAATTGATGTCCCACAGGGTGTGCTCATGGCGGATTAATCGAAATGCAAATAGTGCTGGCCGTTTCTATGTTTTTTTTATTAAATTTAAGAAAGGGGAGTTGCAGTTGGCGCTTCGCGGCAGAACTTAACGGAGCTTCTCTCTTGGGCGTGACAAGAAATACTCAATTTCTACTAAAAACATAGGGAGAAACATAAATTCATAATTCCGCTTCTGAAGAAAACTGGATACAAAAATGAATGCGATAAACGCATCTTTAAGAAATTCCTCTTTGGAGAACATGACCAATGCTCAAATTGCCTGCCCAGTTACTGGCGATGGAACGGTGTCAAAAGCCATGCTGACAACAGCTTATTGCATTATCTTAATACTCTCTTTGGTGGGAAATACTCTTATCATTCTGATCGTCTACCGGAACCCTCGCATGTGGACAGCCTCCAATTTCCTTATCGTTAACATGGCTGCATCAGACCTTCTTGTTCCCTTCTTTGCCGTTCCAAGAATGATCGTGGAGGTGCTGGTGGGCAGAGAACGATGGCTTATTGACGGCACAGCCGGACTGATCCTATGTAAACTCGCGTATTTCTTCCAAGATGTGTCCAATGCCGTCTCTGTTCAAAGCCTCATCGCTATAACAGCAGACAGATTTTACGCGGTGATGTTCCCTTTGAAAGCAAACGCAATGAAGTCTTATATCAGGTTTGTGATTCCGGCTATCTGGCTCACAGCATTTGGTCTTCATGCGCCATATCTTCAAGTCTTCAAATTGTGCGTGGTAGGAGACAAGCTATACTGCTGTCAAAGGTGGCCAAAGACTACATCATTGCACAGCAAATTTATCTATTTTTATTTAATTCTCTTGTTGGTGTTTGGTGTTCCGTTAATAACGATCATAATTTTGTATGTATTTATTGTTTATAAGTTGTTCCGCCGAAAATTTCCCCTCGGTGCCGGCAATTCCATGACCCAAACTCAGCGAAACCGCCGCGCGAAGCAAAACAAAAACATTTTAAAACTGTCAGTTACTATTGTCGTCATCTTTTTCTTATGTTTTTCTCCCTTACTTGTTCTGGCTATTCTCAGAACTACCGGCAGTATAAGTCAATGCAATATCGAAGTATTCCGAATAGTTGCCAAGTTGTTCGCGCAGTCAAACTGTGCAGTGAATTCCTTTGTTTATTACGTTTTTAATACACAATTTCGTCGGGGATTTATTTCCTATTTAAAGGCAATTGTTTGCTGTCTTGATGAAAGCAATAATGGCACGAACACCACAGTTGGCTACTCTACCACGGGTCAAAAGATTTCCCTTCTGTCACAAAAACGAACCAAACAGAATCTTTCTATCACGGAAACAATCTCAGAGTAGTAAACTTTAACGGGAGAAACAGTAATGTTTGATATCTAAACTTCATAAGAGTTTCTTTTTTATGCCCTTCGGTGCACTTAAAAGGCTTCCTACAGCAATCATCATATCCTCATCTTAAAAATTGATAAGATTAGATTTTTTGATGCATTTTTATGGTAGACTTTAAGGTGACATTTTACTTTAGAGAAGCACAGTTGCAGACTCTGAAATTCGGCTTACATTGCAAATTGTTAGATTTATTTTTTCATCTTTTGATTGTTATTGTACAACTAATCATGTTACCGAAATGTGTTCTCAGATAAATTACTTCTGACCTAAGGGTTCTACCGCTGTGATAAACAAGAAAATTATTTTGCTTAATTCAAATAATGGTTTGACATGCAATCAGTTTAAATTATTAAATTTAATTTATTCTCCTCGGGTGGCAATATCAATTTAAAAAAGAGAGGAGTTGAATTGAATTTACTCAATTCTGAATTCAGCTTTGTATGAACGAGCAATAAATGTGCAAATATCGAGAAAAGTTTCTTAGCTGTTAGATTGTGTAATTGTTACATTTTGCTGTTCCGAACCACATAATCAAAAACAATAATAGTATAGAAAAACTTTATTGATTATTGACTGAACTTGAACGTATTAATAAAGCTGTTCAGATTACAGTCGCTAAACGTATTTAAAGAGTAAAGGAATTAAAAGTTACTTCTAAAAATTTACCTCTGGCTGTGAGATATTCATCAACTGTCCTTCCTCAAGCACGCAAATATCACATATAAAAAGAACATTTTTATTCCATTTGAAGGAAGATGCTCCAGACCTTCTGAATCTGAATCTAGCCTTTTTGATAACAAGGGTCTGGAGTTTCAAAGATTCCCGTGAATGCAGCTTTGTGTAATTGGTTTTTTGAAGAGAAGAGAAGGTTGTATATCTAATAAAATCTTCTTCAGGGGAGCACCTCAGATTTACTTTCATTATTAAGAGAAAGAATATTCATAGCAAGCAAGACAGTGATTTAAGAGACAAATGCTATTTTTTTTTTTTTTCATTTAAATTAAAGGCAACTTATTCATTTGAGAAACGACAGTCTTAATTTGCAAATTAATCTTGGGGTATAACATATTCCGATGCAGATGTTGCACCGGAAGAAATCAGTAAAACTTTGAGAAGTTACCGTATAAAAGAGCTTCTTCGGGTGATGCAATACATTTCTTAGCAATTTTGATATTCAGCAAAGTCGATTTTACCCTCCTGATCAATTCCGGGGAAGGTTCTCCGCATAAACCCGTGACGTCATTTTGATAAGGTTACCGTTAAGCATGATATAAATTAAGCGGCGTCGAAGGTAGCCTCAGTGAATAAACTGCTTATATAGCTGAGGGCGTCATGATTGAAAAAAAGAAAATTTAAAAGTCACTTAAGTTACATGCGAGATCACTTATAGAAGCCATAATTGCTTAAAGATCCTTAAAAGCATCAAACAAGATGAACGTCTGACACCATTCGCTTTTTGTAATAAATCATAAAAGAACTGCGCCTCTTTCGTCACTTTGCTTACTTGGGAAAACACATTACTGATCGTTTTAATACTGATTGTTGCAAGTATCACTCATCTTAAAGGGTAACTGACGGCTAACAGATCACTTTTTCGGAATACCGTCTGAATCCCTCGGGTAACACATTGAAACAAATACAAGATGTTTCGTATGCCTCTCTGTGCCTTTTTTCGCCGGGAAAACTGTCGTAAATGCTGCTTCGCGAGTCATCCGCCGTAAACGCTTCGATTTTGATCATGTGACCTTACACGTCACACGTGTGTACATTAAGCAAAGTAAATATGGCGGATAGTACTTCGAGTGAAAGCAGTACTATTTCGGGGTCTGATTATTGGGATTTTGAGGTTTCGATGCATGGAAGGTGAACATAATGAAAGGGTTTATGAAATCAGGCCCTGGCAATTTGAAACGTAACCTAAAATAGAGCGCGAGAGTCAGAAGAGGATCAAGAGCCCGTGCGCCGCGGCTGCCTCAATCAAGAAAGCGAGAATGATGAGTGCATTTATGATTGTAAATAAAGTATCTGAAAATCGGTTGCTTATTAAATGTAGGAGCGATCAAGTAAGGAAAACCAAATGTGCAGACTCTTGAATACCATGGGAATAAAGTGTTTTTATGTTACACGCACCACCTTCCGAAGCTAAGGTTTCACTGACTGCTTGGATAATCCTCTCTGGTGACTGTTACAGGAACGCGTGCAAGAAGTTTCCTTTTGACACATGGAATCGCTATCTTCATTGGAATCTCCATAACATGCTTGTGCTATCTGAAAGTGTTCCTGGTCGTGCGACCCTCCTTTCTCAAATCAATATCCAGCTACAAGCCACTGGGAATGCAACATACGATGCAGCTCGCTTGAAAAATAAATTTTCCAAAGTTCTCTTTATTGTAGAAGCTTTTGTACTTTGCTATTTGCCTTTCAGTCTTTCAATAAGAACATCTAACAACAAGAGAGGCCGCGCCATGACATTAATAATTTTATTGGGAGGGAGCTCCTGCATTCATTCTGTGATCTACTTTTGGAGGATAAAAGAACTAAGGCGGGCCGCCAAAGGACAAATTTTTCACGTATTTAAATGTTTCAGTAGTGATTAACGACGAAGTGATTTGACTGCCGTTGACAGAGTTCTAAATCAGTGGTTTACACAACCAATCATTTTTTTGCAATCAACAGCATTTCTCTCATGCGCAAATAAAGAAATGTAAAAACCAACGGCATAATTGTATTTTTGCTCACTCTTTCTCGCGAATATAATACTAAGTTTGTGATGTGAACACTTTTAAATAACAAGAATTTTAAATCATGATCGCATTTAAAATATCACAGATTGCCAATGTCACCGTCGGTTTTCAATTTAAATTTTAATTATCCAACTTATGGCGTTAACATCATTTTTTAGAGGAAGTTTTAATTTTCCAGCTAATTAATCATTGAAGCTTTGTCTGACTTTTATACCATATTTAATTATTTTTCTTTAAGAAAAAAAATTGGCGAAATCATGCATTCCGCTTCTTATAAGCAGAGACGATGTCACACACATCTCCACTCTCAAGGTAATTCTGACCTGTGACACTTGTGCACTAAGGTTTCTTAAGAAAGTGTTTGAATTAAAAAAAATGAAGGAATGAAATGAATGGGAAAAGCAGTTCTCCGATGAACGTTTTCTTTTGTATTGTGACGAATAAAAAGAACGGAGAAAACAGAAGAAAAAAAAACCTCCTGACTATCTCTTTGGTTGTCCAGGCGTCCATCACTTACAAAGTCTTTTTCATTTCATTACCCTCACAGTAAGCTCTTGCTCCAGGCTCCATACATTTATGGCGATTGTCATCAATGGCTATTACAAATGTTTCCAAAAAAACTGCTTAATACATATGGCATAGCCATTTTAGGTAAGAGTTGATCACTGCGTTCATGGATCGTCAGGTCTTGGCTCGTCATCGTCATCATCACCATCTGTCTTTTTCCTGAACAGTTTTTTCGTTACCAACGCAATGGACGCTGTACCCACCATTGCACATGCAATCCCAATACCTATAGCGACAGCGAGGCCAGAGGACTGGGTGCTATTGTCCAATGCAGACTGAAATGAATATAAAACTGATTTGTATTCAACTTGCGATAAAGGTAAAGCAGGAATGACCCCGAAGAGCATTAAAAAAAATACTTACGCCAGTGAAAAGCGTTTTCTCGACCTCTTGGTTCTTTGGGATTGCTATAGCTCCACCTTAAAAGAAGAAGAGAAGTTGAGAGCGAGAGTTCCAAAAGTTCCAAAAATGAGTAGCGCGCAATGCCGAGGTAAGTGCTAAGCTCTAACCAATAAGCATTTTAGGGCCATTTTATAATTAATTACAGATTAGAGCTTAATCATCAAAATAAATTTCGGAGAGGCCGGGGTGATGAGAATTACTGAGTTTGCAGACCCTCATGGGGGAGGGGATAGCTAATCTATTGAATGAGTAAAAGATGTTTATTATTTGATTTTATTATCCAACTGCACAAAGTAGAGTTCAAATAACGCGCGCATAGAGTACAAATATCCTACGACATTCAATGTACGGTTATTTGGATAGTTGATTATTTTGTACTGTAAGAAGACCAGTTTGACCAGTCAGCTGCGCGCGCTACGCTTCTTTTTCTGCTTTGCCTTTCCTGCCTTATGAGAAATTAGCAGAAAGACCTAGCAGAAAAAAAGTTGGATAATAAATAACTTATTAGACGTTTTGGTGTATAGTATCGCTGAGTATTTTTACTTGTAGTTTGTATTTTGACACGCACTACGGGCTCATCAAAATATGGCAAAACTCGCGAAAATACTTAGTGATACTACACACCAAAACGACTAATAAGATATATGTATTATGTTTATCATCTGTGGTGTTTCGTTTTTGTATGCTTTCTTTAACATGCAGATCTGAAATTATATCGAGCGTGTGAAATTAAGTGAAATGAGGAGACACAAAACGTTTTCCTGACCAGCAATTGGTAGTAGAAAAAGATGGCCGAAATTTCTTTTCTTGAAGAATTCTCCCGATAAACTTCAGGTAACCGATCGATGGGATTAGAAGGAAGTCAACTCTGCTATATTTTTGCCGACCGGGTTTGCATTTCAGAAACAGAAATACGATTCCTACCACTGTGACCACGAATGTGTGTATATAACGTAATTTATTTAAAAAGGTGGACATAGGCAGATAGGATCAATATCAGTATCTGGGCAACTGCCCACCTACCCCTCCCCTAACTCAATATTAACCTCAACTTGTTGTCAATTGACTGTTGATCTGGCAGATATGCTCACCTGGAGTATAATAGCAATATGTTAGTTTCATCTGTGATCCATGCTTGTCCACTTGGAATGGATTTTTACCCTCGCTGCTTACTTCATATCTGCCAACGTTCTTATCGAAATTAACACTTTCCTCTTTTAGTGTTGCACCTTTGACTTGCTGACAATTTTCGCCACTCAGGGAGTACAAGTAGAAAGGCTTGTCGAGGGGAAGCGAAATAGAACTGTTAATTTCACCTGTAGGAGAGAAAGTTACAAAGGCTCGAAATTAAGAGATCTAACGAGGTATGTGAGGACTTACAATGTTTACTGCAAGGCTGAAACATTAAGGGATCGTAACTTGAGCCGGATCCATCAAAACTTTATTACAGTTGATAGAGAATAGCGAGAGTCAACCTTAGTCTCCTGCATGGTCTTTCCTACGCTACAATCAGCGACAAAACGGTCGACACATCACCACTGAGATCGCAATATTTGGGAATAGCATACCAGTTTCATCCCTAAAACCTTTTGTTTCATCTATTTACTCGTGTACGATGTGGCATTTTGTTTTCTGTGATTGTGCAACCATAGAATGGGGGAAGGGACCCACTAGTATTGTAGCAAACTGCAGTTCACCATAAACTTCAATCTAACTGGGAACGTGGGCACGTGGATGTTAGTTGTCAAAAAAGTTTGTCGTGGACTGAAACCCTTCTTGAGTTAGTGTTGAAACGTGTTACTAAAATGTTTTGGTGTAAATTTAGATGATAGCCGAATGGAAAGTCCACGCGCAAAGAAAGTTCGCGAAATAATGTTGCTTATTTTAAACTACATCCACCTTCACGTTTGGTTAAGATTTTAATTTTTAAAGGGGTAAAATAACTTTCACCTCTGGTACTACAACAGTAGTTAACTGTTCTTTCTTTTAACTTTTTCCCATTGACAGTTGCGTCTTGGAAGCTGGAAGATTTTGGACGCCAAAGGACGGAGCTGTAAATTTAAATAAAAACACACCGAACAAAAATAAATTAATTAAATCGATAAAAAACAATTATGAATTACCATCCAATTAACCAGCAAAAATCTGCAATTGCTTTCATTTGGAAGCCTGAGAGGAAATCTCTTTACAAAATTGTAGCTTTTAAAATATATCTAGTGCCCCAATGATATCAAAGAAGACATAATGGTTATTTACCCATCCGCAAATCCAACTGGACAAGAATCGTGTTTTAAAATACAGTATCTTCCGGCTGGCCAATCCTGTGTCTTGTCCGTACTTGTCTTTATACAAAAGTCTTGTTCAATACCTTTAGCAAAGCAGTAAAAATACCAAAAAAAATATGATCCAAGCTGGCGGAATGGTTCTTGACAGTATGAAACATATCTTCTGGGTGGGCATTTCCCCATCGTTAGATTTTCAAGGAAAACTGCCTTCGAGGCCGGAAGCAGCATCAAATAATTTTTAATGCGAACTTGTGCCATCCGTAACGTGACCATCTTATTACACACTCCTTTTATCATTTCATCGATCTTATCATCGATTCTCGATTAGAAAGAGAGTCTAAAGGTGTGTCATCGCCACAAATGCCAATTGGTCTCCCGAGGGAAAGATAACTAAAGTTCATGATTTTGATCTTAAATATACAAAAATAAGGAGTTTTACTTTTTTACCTCCCCCCATGTAAACTGGAGGGATTTCAATTAGGACCAGTTACCGGCAGGTTACTGTCGCTTACAAATCCCCGTACCGCCGTCTTACCGCTCTATTTCTAAGGCTTTGCACGGCATCTATCGTTTTCACATCTTCCTTTTCCATGATCGGCAGCTACTGCGTGTTTTTGTCTTACCAGCTTGTGGCTGCAAGAACCGATCTAACATGTTGAGCAGTGCCAGTGAGAAATTAATTTAACCTACGCATACCTTCCTTAGTAATCCAGCCAGCCAAGTGTAGGTTATTATAGGCTTCACGGTCGACCAGGTTACCAGTTTTATCATCGTGAAATCTTCGACCTTCGAACCAATTATTCGGGCATCCCGCTTTGGGCATAGGAAGGCCATATTTACCGGTTGGCCATGAAACTTTTCCTAAAAACAATACAAAAAGGTTATAAGGTAACAGAATAAAAAAAAAGGGAAGGTGACTCAGGAGCAGAAAATACAAGGCTGTATATTTTTGCGTTATGTTAGATGCATTCGTTTTTTTCTCGGACTGAACAGCATACAAGGCTGCAGAGAAGTACATGGTGTTTGCACGCAACATCAAATTTAAAACTCGGAACTGCCAGTGTATTCTTAGTTAGCCGTACTTAGTCTTATCTTCAGTGTATATAAATTGAATCTCCCATGATATATAGCATACATGTAGGGCAGCCATGATTTCTCAGCTTTAAAATGCAAACCTACCTTTGCTCAACTATTTCGAGCAAAGGCGACTATTTATCGTCATCTGAGAAAAATAATCTTCCTTATAGACTTGCCAAAATCTTTGAGCTACTGCAAACGATTCATCATTTTCCTTATTAAACGTTCGTCTCTTATCTTTTTTCCAGTGGTAAGAGAAGACTTGGTTATGCTCCAAAAATAATACTTGAAACATATGATTCGCTTTGAATCTTTTTTTTTTAAGGAAAGCTCAAGCGAGATTTCATCAACGCTATTATCTTAAAATAGTTTACCTTTGGTGGAGTGACACCAGAAAACCACCAGTGATAAAGTTAACCAAAACATTAGGTAGCTTGATATGTCTCTGTCTTGAGAGTCCAGTCAACACTATGCTGTTTAATGCGTCATTTTCTGTTTAACATCAATGTAACAACATCAATGAAACAAAATATTCGGTTCTAGCCTGGTGAAAATTATTACTGTAAAAGATGCTATCGAAGCTAATTCCTCACCAACATTGCGAAATAATTTCTCGTCGCACAGTCATTTCAGCTTTAACGCCAGTTTCAGTCAACCACTTGAGGTTTAAAAGTAGAATTGGAGGCACGAAACTTTGCACAAAAAAACGGTGGCCTCGTTCAGCCTTTAAACAGGAAGGATTCAGAGATTCCAAACTAGAAACACCTTTCTTTTCTTATGACCGCATTTAACCGTGAATTGTACCTGTCGATTAGGTAATGTCTTCTTATACATAAATCTCGCGCGAAAATTTAAGCCGTTGCTTCGTTCTTCCTTATAGCCCCTTTGTTCCTCCATTGTTTTTAGGAATCTTTTTTCGGATATTCATTTGGTGCAATTTTTAACATTACTCGAAGTATCTTCAAAATTGAAAGTATCACAAAAAATTCTTCCCTAATCTTGCAAGTTTTGCCCGACAAACTTGGTATCTTGTTTGAATGCCTCATGACTCTGAATACGATGTCTCATTAAACCTTCAGACGAAACACGATCGCTTTGAAAATATAGAGAACAATTGTAACACAATAGGAAAAAAATGCTAAAATAAATTGGCTGAAATTTTAATCCGTCAGAGTTATGTTCATAAAACAAAACGTCAGCCATCATAAAATTGTTTCCCCGGGCTTACCTTGCGGGCGCCTTTGAATCCTTTGTTCTTAGAAATACTCCCTCATATTTCTGTAAGAACGAGAGAGGGAATTTGTTCTGTGTTTACAGTTTTCTGCCGTCTAGTGTATTACCATGAAAAATGAACCTAATTCCAAGAGAATTTCTTGCAAAAAGTCATGGGACCGTTAAGTTGCTCTGCCTACGCAGTTTTCGGATTTGGTCAAACCTGTTGTCAATTGTTCCTTGCTCGTGGCGCGAGATGACAAAACAAATAAATACGATACGGTTCAACAAGCAAATGAAACGGTTGATAAGACGAGCGCAGAGATGGCAGAGACTTATTTAAGAATAAGTGGTTATAAACCATATAGGTAATATTTATGTATCTAAAATGGAAAGCGTTTCTTTATGCACGTGAAATTAACTGCTCTTCAAGGCGGTAATCAGAGACGTAGCGACGCAATAATTAACAAGCGCGGTAGACCTCTCACTGGGCAATTTTGTCATGTTCTCGGGCAAAACGGTTAACCCTCAAAGTACCCTTTTCCACCCAGAATTTTGAATTAATACCAAATCATCGCCTATCTAGGAAAGAATGCTCTGGGACAATAAAATTAATAGAAGTGTTAATTGTTACCGGAATCGTATTCAGAGTCAGATTTTGGTTCTAAAGTAGTAGAGTTGTTTTCAAATACATGTTAATATGGGGGGACCCTACCTTAGGAGCGACTTTCAACTTTGACTGACACACTCGCCCCAGTGTCAAACAGGAACTCACTGGATACGTCATGTAACATGAATGCTTGCATGGGTTTCATCACGTCGTGAGCCAAATGATTAGTGGGTTTTTTATGTCACAACTGATTTTAATAATTTTTAATGAACTAGTTTTTATTGATTTAACTTCTTTTTCTTTTTTTGGGCGGGGACGGGGGGGGAGGGGTTACCTAACAAGCTTTCACAAGACTGCCGCTGAGGTTAGCGACTACTTAATCTCGAAAACACGCAAAAAATGCTATTTGACGAGAATATAATTTGTATCCTGCTAGCATTTGTAACCCAGGAATATGCCTGCGTGGAGAACCGTTTTCTTGCTAGCCATAGGTTATTTTTAATATAACGTTCGACTATAAGGTGCAAGAGGGCATAATTGGTTCTACCCGAATCAAGCGCTTTGTTAGCCAGGAGCAAATAACTCCATAAATAGCAAGAAATAAAAACTCCCGATCAGTCCTTGATACCTTTTAGGTATATCTGAGTGTATTCACTTGTTTAAAGTCTACTTGGTACCGCGTGTTGCAATGGCGACATCTTGTCTAAACGCAAAATACCCTTCCATCCCCCTATATACATATTACTTTTCATGACAATAGGCCACCCCTCTCCACCTGTTATATTCCTTCCCTTGAAATACAAACGACACCTAAGCTATCGCTAAAACGCAACGAATATCATTTCCTGTCAGATTCAGCGGAGGGGAACACACAAAACCGCCTGATTGACTCTTCATAGAATCCTTCAACTTGAAAAACGGAAGGACTTACCAGAAGGCCAGAGACATGTGACGTCACTAGAAACCTGTTTGTTGTTGCGGATGAGCGGGTTATTATCTCACTCGAGAGGTTGCGTTAATATATTGATAGAAAAAGGTTGTGAAAAGAAACATGGCGGACACTTGAAGCCAAAAAGGTATGGTAGACTAGGACGTATTTTAAGTTGGTTTCAAATACTTTTTATTGAACCCCATCGATTTTGTTTCGGGGGTGTTTTAATGTTCAGTCGACTTTGTTCGAGAGAGCATCGAACGCAAGGATGTGAGGTCAGTTTAGCTTACAATCACGTTTTTGGTTTTATGGTTGCTTTGTTTGAATTCACAAACCCCGACCGCACCGCAAGTTGTGAGTACTGCAAAATACTGATCAATCTTTTCAGACCCTGAAAACATATGGATGTAAAAATAAGCGAAAGTCTCTGAACACAAAAAGACATTTAGATCTAATCTTATTTTTCCTTAATAAAAAAATATGTTATTGGTCGTTTAGTGATCGATCTTCGTCTCGAAATTCCATCGATTTAGCGTTGCTCGGAGGGGTTTTTTTTCTTTCCAAATAACTGATTGAATTTCTCTTTTAGTTGGGTGGTGTTCTGATTTGAAACGCAGATCGGGCAAAATCGAAGTCAGCAAAACGTGAACGCGAAATAACTTTAAAATTACGAGAGACTAAAATCCTTCCAAGCGAGTGATTCAGGAAATCAAAACAAGGAAAAAGGCGTCTGAATGACAAAGCTACTGTTTAAACTTTGATTTTCATTGAACCATTGGAGTCTTAGAGTTTCAAGTTGGCAGAAATTTGACAGAAGCTGTCTCCGCTTTCGTTAGACCATCTATCAAAAATCTACTCTATTGCTACTCAATAAACACGCCTAAAATTAAATTGTTTGGATAATTACGTGTTCAAGTTACGTGATGGATGAGTTTCGCATTACCGTGCTGAGAAACCAGTTGGAATCAGTCCGAACAGTAAAAATGCCATTATAAAGCATCATTCTACTTATTAGTGGCTCGCCTATGCAAGGTTTGTGAAAATGGGAAGGAGTGCAGCCTTCACAGGGCACTCGTCCGGTAGAAGTGCACCAATAGGGTAAATATATTATAAACCTGTTACTTTGCAGACACTCAAAAACTTAAAAGAATCTAAATTAGAGAAAGGTTTACCGAAGCAACCATAAATAACCACATTTTACTTGAATTAGAATTAACAAAGGTCAAACGTTTTAATCGAATATAGAAGAAAACCCGTAGGACTGCTACGTGTTTAGACTCAACGTTAACGCCCACTGCAACGCACTCAACTCTATTTTTTCATACAACGAATAAGTCCAGACGCGTTTAGAGGGAGACATGAGGTAATGTTTGGTTAGGTTTGTGTCGACAAAATATAATTCAGGTCAGTTGGATATCTGTTGCTTTCAAGACTGCAACTCTCGACGAATTTAAACAGACAAGTTCGAATTTATATTATTAATTATTTCCTCTCCTTTTTTTTTAGCTAAACTGCAACAGAAATGAATATCATTCCTGTGATTCCTGAAAGATGACTTTTGCTTTCAAAGTTCTTTTCCTCGCACTGTTGGAACTTTGTCTTTTCGTGGAATATGACCTAGGTAACTGACATTGTATAATAACAAAGTTTAAATTGAATGGCATGCACGAAATTTAAAATGATGAAGCTAAGATAAGTGTCTGCATCACATCACAGCCCATTCATCTATATCGAAGTATGTTTTGTCTTAGAAGACAGCCAACTGAGTTTGTTATGAAGTGAAAGGATTAACGTTGGCGAAATACCATTCACTCGACTAGAAGTGAAGGATGAAGTAAAGGTCACTTTGAATGTGAGATTCTATGATAAGCAAACTTGTGTTTAAGTTGCTGCCAAGAAAATCACTTACTCAGCTAGAGATAGATGAAGAAGTAGGTGCTACTTTCAAGGTGACAAGCAAATCAAAAGATTCCATGATAAGCAAACGAAAAAATTACCTTACAAATGTCGCTTTGCTTAGTTCTTCCTCGCGTAGTAGTATGCATTATAATTAGAAGCTGTAGAGACTGGTAGCACTAAATTATTTTCTTTCCTGGCAACGAACTGCGAAATATGAGATCTTTGACGTTCAACATACATGCTATGGTTTCCAGATTTGAATGACAGTGCCACTTCAAATGTTTTACTTGCAGCACCTTTGTTTTACGTAAAGCGAATTCCAGAGACAGAGATCCAAATTCTAGGCACGGTCAGCAGCGTGCGGCAAGAAAGAAGCTCATCCGTCACTAATGCGCCTGTGCTGGCAAAAAGCGTCATCGAAACTAAGGACAACCATGACAAAAATGTGGAGGAAACAAAAAGAGATGTGAGTCTTGAAGAACTGTTAACTGACGACAGTCGGAAAAGAGAAAAAAGAATTGACAAGGATAAAAAGAGCGTTGAGGGAGAGACTCAAATACAAAAACCGGCAAGAGCGAATAAAAATTCAGTCAATTCTTCGCCGACATCGACTCTGGGTAAGCTAGCAGGCAATAGCCAACTTTGCTTATTGCACCGATGATAGCACTTATGATAAATGAAATCAAATTCTAATACGTAAAACTGATGCACTTTCTACCAAAGCACGCTTTTTGTGACTCGTCAAAGAGCCGTGCCTAAGCAAATCGTTGTAGTATAACTTTCCTTGAAGTAGGTGACTCGAGAACATGAGTTGCGTTGCTAACGGCAGGCGTTCAATTACAAGGTTACACTCTCATTATATTTGTGACTAACTGTACAACAGTGTACTGAAGGAAGGTGATGTCATCAAGCCTGAAATTCTCTGGCCATGTATTTCTAAGGAGACGACTGTGTAAAACCAAAGTAATCATGATGGGAATAAGAAGATGGAGAATTTCTTTCTGTTCGGGAAATTTAATTTCCTCGAGTCAAGTACTTTCTTTTGTGTACTGTCGATTTTTTGTGTGCTACCGAAAGTTCTCGACCTTCATACTCTCGAGTATAAGAGGAAAACTCTTGATTCGAGGAGAAAATATTGACTTGGGAAAGAGATTCTCAGCTCCCGAAGACAAAACAAAAATAAAACAAAAATCTTAACTACTTTTGTGCCCCATAAAATCACAAGAGTAACGAGGATTGAGCGGCCCCTAATCTCAAGAATTTTTAAAATCACAAAGCTTAAGAAACTTTAGCTGGGCCAGGGCGAGTGTCGTTGTGAATCTTGTTCAAATTAAATTG